GTAAAAAGGCCACATAGTAGGTGGTGTTAAAAGTGCAGTTGCGCACTAGAAAATCACCAAACACTGGGCGTGTCAATCAATTTAAAGAAATATTTTATTAACATACATTAATAATCATGAAAAATATTTTGAATTGAACTCGAGTGGACTCGGGAATAATTCCGAGTCCTAAAAAAAAAAAATGTTCGAGTACGAGTCAATTCCGAGTCCAAATGGACACGAGTCCATGACAAGACCAAGACCGTTAAAATATGTTCTCGAGACCGATTCCGAGACGAGTCCGAGTCTCGAGTACTACAACACTGCTCTTCGGTTAATGGAGATCTCAGTTATGTTTTATTAAACTTAAACTTTATTAAAATCAAATGCTCGCCTTGCACTGTTCTGTGACGCATGTTTGTGACTCTCCTGTTCGAACTCGTTCATCAAAATGAACAAATCTTTTTATGAGTCATTTTGTTCATTCAAAGAACAAAACGAACGAATTGACAAAGATTCATTCATTTTGATGAACGAGTTCGAACAGGAGAGTCACGAACGTACATCACAGAACAGAGCAAGGCGAGCATTTCAGCTTATAAAACTTAAACTTTGTTGTTATTTTTTTTTAAATGAGCGATCGTTTCGCTTGATAAGACCCTTATTTATCGTCTGGAATCGTTTAAAGCCCTTTGAATCGTTTGCAATTTGTTCTGAAACTGTCTTTTGGCCTTTGAACCGTTTGGTTCCCATTGAAGTCCATTATATGGAGAAAAATCCTGGAATGTTTTCATCAAAAACCTTAATTTCTTTTCAACTGAAGAAAGAAAGACATGGACATCTTGGATGACATGGGGGTACATAGTTCACTTCACCCCCATGTCATCCAAGATGTCCATGTCTTTCTTTCTTCAGTCGAACAGAAATTAAGGTTTTTTATGAAAACATTCCAAGATTTTCTCCATATAATGGACTTCAGTGGTAGTCAATGGATGGTTTTCTGACCAGCTGAGAACTCGTGAAGAGCTTATAAATGTGTAATGGACTCAAAACAGTGTCAGGAATCCCTCCGTCACACACACACTAAGATCTGCTGTAAGGAGACGCGGTTCTGACGCCTGAAAAAACGGTTTGCTTGAGCAATCTATCCTTTTTAGGATCACATCTTGTGACATCATGTCTTGTTTTAGGTTCGTTTACATGTCTTTGGTCCGTGTTGTGTTCATATATCATTCGAACCGCACCAGAATTAGTTTTAAAGCGGATTGAGACTAATTTTTTTCAGCGTATTCGGGTCACACTTATTGAAATGAACCGCACTAACAGGTTCGTTTTAATCCAACCAAACATTAGTTTTAATCCAACAGATCTCACTGTGGTTTCTCTTTCCTATGTGCCAGAGTCACGTGAACCAAGCAGAATTTCTGTGTATTGCCTGGATTCAGGCGGTGTATGTGTGTGTGTGTGAGTGTGTGAGGTGGTTTCTCTCATTAAAGGCTACAGGTCAGAGATCCACAGCACTGCAACTCAAATGCAATAGTCTGCAACCGGCAGCACAGAAAGATCTCAAAGACACACACACACACACACACACACGAATGAGGCAACTTGGATTCAAGGGTAAACAGCGAGGGAATGTGTGTTTGGATGGTAGAAGCGCGCGTGTCGCTGTGAGATGTTTGTATGTATGAGTGTCTCAGTGCCGAGAGTCTGTTGTTTTATACATGCTGTGTTGGTGTGTGTTTATTTTTATAGCTAACACAAGCAGTGCATCCACAACTAGAGTAAAACTCAGGGCACGTATCACACTACAGTTTAAAGAACACTGCAAATACATTGACTTCAACTGGGATGGTGTGTGGCAAGGACAAACACAAGGATTTGAGACATCTGACATCCACTGACCAATGAGAATTTGAGACTGGTGACTGGCCCGAATGTCATAATACACTCAAAATGAATTATATATAAATATGGTAACACTTTACAATAAGGTTCATTAGTCAACTACATTAGTTAACATGTACTAAGAATGAACAATACTTCTTCAGCATTTATTAATCTTAGTTAATAGTAATTCCAACATTTACTAATACATTATTAAAATCAAAGGTTGTATTAGTTAACGTTAGTTAATGGACTGTGAACTAACATGAACGCACAATGAACAGCTGTATTTATATTAACTAACATTAACAAAGATTAACAAACACTGTAACTAATGCATTGCTCATCGTTAGTTCATGTTAGTTAATGCATTTGGTAATGTTAACTAATTAACCTTATTGTAAAGTGTTACCATAAATATATGCATATGTACAGACCCAGATAGCAGACTGACATTGAATCAACGTGGAAATATGACATCGAAACAACGTTGATCTGACATTGTTTTGCTCATCGAATTAACGTTGAACCAACGTCAGACGCGTCATTCTTTCAAAACTAACGGAAAATCAACTTGAAATCAACGCGTTGTTTCAACGTTATGAAAGCAAATCAATTTTCGATTTTCATTTAGCTTTGAAGAATGCCGCGTCTGACGTTGGTTCAACGTTAATTCGATGAGCAAAATCAACGTTGTTTCAATGTCAAGAGAGACGTCGTTTCCACGTTGATTCAATGTCAGTTTGCTGTCTGGGGAGAGAGAGAGGGAGAGAGAGTAGTCAGTAGTCAGTGACTGATTATGATGAATATTTTTAGTTAAAAAATAATGTAATATATTACAAGTTCTTAATATTTGGAGTCTGATTATGTAATTCTGATTATATATAATCAGTTATTACCCCGCACTGTATATTTAGTTTGTTACAGCTAAGTGAAAGCTTCACAGTTTTAACACATCCCAGAGGAGAGGTTAGTGAAGGGTGTGCAGCCTTTACTGACCATAAAGTGTGTGTGTGTGTGTGTGTGCAGGTTTTAGCCTTGCATAGTACTTAATGGCGTTTTACTGCTGCTTTATATAGATCCATCTCCGTCTGTGTGTCTGTTGCTGTATATAGCTCAGTGCTGATGGGGACACACTCATAAAGATGATAAAGTCTGCTGTGGTGTCAGGCCTGGAAACGTATCACTGCTTACGTTTTATTTACTTTATTTATTTATTTTTGCTCAGAAATATCAGTGGTATTGCATAGGCTGTATTTTTTACAATAAGGCTACGATCTGAAGAGAAAACGCAAAAGTGGCGTTGCGTTATCATTTTTTATTCTGCGTTTAGACAAGCGTTATGGGTGGGAAATCCGCGTGCATACGGTGACGCAAAAGTGTGTGAAATTCGATGTAGTATACACTCCAGACGGCTAGGTGGCGATGTGAAGCACTGCCACACAACAACACCAAATCCGCACGCCTGCGTACAACCAGAGCCCGTCTAACGGAGAGCCTTGGCACTTCCTATTAGCCCCGTTGTGTATCATCTTTGTTGCAGTTCCATTAGAATTCCACTGGAGGTGATCACGGGTGAGAGCAGAATGAATGGGAGTCAATGGGGCTAAACGGCTAAATGTGTCTCTTTCACCTGTTTGTCGTTAAATCAACATAGATTTTATTGTTGATTCCGCAAGTTCAATATAGATTATAGGCCAAAAGTCGAATGAACGAGTACTTATGTCCTTTTGATTTCTTACAGGTTAGGCCGTTGTTGGCTGGAACAGGCTAGCATTCTGCTATTGTGTGACATCATCACAGTTTTGAACGGATTTTTAGAACAGATAAGTGAACTTAAAAATGCAATTTTCAGCTGAGTGTATTATCTTAGCCCTCCCCTTTGAATGCAACTTTCAAATTACTTGACAAAAAATTGGATTTCTAGGTGTGAAACCCCATTGACTCCCATTCATTCTGCACTCGACCGCGAGCGCCCCCGCATGGACAGAGACGTGTTACTGCAGCCAGTCCAGAAACTGGAAGTAACCAGCCAGTGCCAATTCTCTTCAATTAGACATTCTCTGGTACAACCTTCCCTGTTTTGCAGACTTTTACGTTTATACCGGTTTTTACCCTTGGTGGAGCGTTTTTTTTTTTTTGAACTTTTTATTTATATTTTTCACAGAACATAACAAAAGGAACATTATCTGAGACAATAAGAGATTTCAAGTGACAAAATAACAAGAATAAAATAAGGAAAAAAATTAAATAAATAAATAACCAAATACATACAAATATTCGGTATGGTGGAGCGTTTTTAAAGCTACACTGTGTGATTTTTACCCCCATCTAGCGGTGAAAAGGTATATGACCATCCAGTGAATATTAGTTTCTGTTCCTCTCAATTCCGATTTCGTTTTAACTCCTACGGTGGCCAATGTAGTCCAAGATTAACATGGCTTCCAGTTCGAGTGTTAACCGAAACGTAAACGCGAAAGGCGAAGCTTGAATTAACGTATGTATGTCCCTCTTTGGCTAATGTACTTTCAAGATGGCGGGGCAACATGGCGAACCTCTTACCCGTATGTATTTTCAATGGCATATTATACACTCACGAGAATACTTTATTACTTGAACGAAGTAAATATACATTAATGAGCACATATATTTATGAAAGAACTAAGAGTTTTTAGCTAAGAATAAACTAAAACGAGTTACACAGTGTAGCTTTAAGAGGGTGGTTTCACTTTTTTGAGTTTTTAAGCCCAAAAAACGCCGTCGCCATGTAAACGAAAGGCATATCCGATAAAATATTTTTACGTTTTCACCCGCGAGCGTTCTCATGTAAACAGGCCCAAAGGTGCAAAAGTTTTTGATTGATTGATTGATTGATTGATTGAACGATTGATTCGCTCAAAGGAGTCATTTGTTCATCAGTATCATTTGTTTGTGTCGGACTGTATGTTTAATTTTGAGGGCACATGCAACAAAAAGATATGTTCTTCATTTACTGTTTGTGTATATCCGATTCTGGGGTTATCCTTTCATCACATTTGACACAATGAATACGAAGCCGGCAAAATGTGACAAGCAGATCAAATCTGAGATGATCCAGTAGAAGTTTATATTCTGTCTTTGTGCTTGTCTTTCAGAGGACCGGAAGCTGTTTGTGGGCATGTTGAATAAGCAGCAGACGGAAGAGGACGTGTACCGCTTTTTCGAGCCCTACGGAGTCATTGAAGAGTGCACCGTATTACGAGGCCCTGATGGAAACAGTAAAGGTGAGTTGTTGTTCCTACTTTCATCTCGCAGTTTTTCCTTATTCTCGTCGGAGATGTATTTTATATTCTGAGCAGTTAAAGAGTAGTGACCTTCTGCAGAAAAAGACAAAGTCAAATCAAACAAAGAAACAGAAAAGCCGCGTTCAACCTTGAGTGGCGTAGCAGAAGTGCTGTCATTTACACATTCAATTTCACCGAACACACGCACGCCCCTGAAACACTGTGTGATGGGTTTTATCATCGCTGACACGGCGTCGGGTGAAGCCTTTCCCCGGCACGGGCCATGCAGGAATTATTTACACACACTCCAAACGCTGCGTCCATTAACCGACTGCAAGAGGGAAACGGGTCAGAGAGGTCAATCGTGTTTGAAATGTGTGAAGAGCGAATCCACGTAAGAGATTTTGAGCTCAACATGAAGTCATGAAGGTTTGATGATCTGCAGCGCGTCCGATCACATGACCCTCCACTGCACAGATATCCTGTGATCAGGGCTTGGCATTAACATCCGCCAACACGCCAAATGTGACACTTTTGTGAAAAAATCCTGTTTAATTTTTGAGACTTAAGTTTTTATTTAATCGACCTTGTCTAAAGACGTTTCCATTTTCAACACCAAATACAGGCAAATCCACGGACAGGCATTATCAAGAGGGCGCTTGAAACGCACAATTCAGCGATATGTCTGATGATTTATTGGCGTGAAGTTTCGTGCACAATGCCAAACAGGAGTGCAACCTTCAGGGATTGAAATTAACATCCAACTCGCCAAATGCGGGTACAAATGAAGTTTGGCGGGAAACGCTGTCGAATCACAAAGCAGCTTGGCGTGTTTCTGTGTTTACTCACTTTGCTGTGGAAGTTCGTGTAAGCCAAATCTGCGCGGATTTAGCGCAAATACACAACTTGTTGGATCATGATATATATCTATATGATATATTTGTTTTATATCTTGATTTTAGGTTGCCATGGGACAACGTATGAAAATTAGCCTGTTGAGCTAACTCTGGCTCATTTACAGTTATTTTACTGTTAATTAATGAGCACTGTTCCTGTAAAATAAACAAATAAATTAAATTAAATTAAATATATTAAATAGTAGGGGTGTAACGGTACACAAAAATCACGGTTCGGTACGTACCTCGGTTTTAAAGTCACGGTTCGGTACGTTTTCGATACAGCAAAAAGAAAGAAATGCCAGAGAAATTTCCTATTTGTTTAAAGAAAAAATATTTTTAAATAAGTGTGAGTTTTCCTAGATCTTGAAACTTTCAGGTTTATAAATAGGGGTCATCTTTGAAGGATGAACAAATAATGTTTTGGTCATCACATTAAAAATAACATTTAAATATATATTTATTTATATAATATTTGAATTTTGAAGTGCTGGTAAAAGATGTGTGAAGTACTTGAAAGCATTTCACCATTCCAGCCAAACTGGTTCCAGTTAGTGTTACTATATTAAATCCATGGTGAATGTTGCTGGTCTGTGGACGAAACTATTACTAGTTCATTCACGGCACAATGTTTCTCCTGGTTTCCATGACAGCGCTGTTTGATCTAATAGAGATCTGCGGTTAATAACGGAGAAATGTGAATGCTTCTCACTAGATCTCGCAGCGATGTTATTACCTCAGTGACGAATTCAAATGTTTTCTTTACCGGATCTCTTAGTGCTGTGTGTTAACAGTGTTGCTTGATCGAGATCGTCTCGCGCTGCACAGATGTTGTTGGTCCGAACTGATAAACGATCCATGAAGCACATAACGAGGAGCGCAGTTTCGTTCTGCTTTGCCATTTGATGTTGCGCAACGTTGTGTTGGCCGCGTCAGCACGAATTTTGCCGACAGGAAAAATGGTCCAAGCAATCGTTCGGTTTGTATGCGTACCGAACCGGAAGCCTCGAACCGAAACGGTTCAATACGAATACATGTACCGTTACACCCCTATTAAATAGGCATTTCTGGCTTACTTGAACACACACGTCACTACGCAACGAATAACGGCACAATAGCGAATATTAAAAGGCATTTGGTTAACAGAAAACACATCGTTATTAACATACATGTTCTGTGTGCTGTATTGATCTGTCCACCTAAAACACATTTTTGGAAAAAAAAAACACCGTTAAAATCGATTCCCTATTTTCGTTTTTGATACTTGTGTTGGTTGGTTGGTTGGTAGGTTGCAATCGATTTTCGAATGTAAAGTGGGTGTATTTCAACAGTCACTCCTACTAACTTTTTTTGCGGATTGAATTTTGTATATAATATATACATTTTTCAATTGTAGATTAAAGTCTTTTAGAATAGCATCTGAAATAATGAACTAAGTACAATGTAGTGTTGTCAAAAATATCGATTTTGCGATACATATCAACGCAGAAATATCTGAAACACTCCCAATACTCATTTTCCAGAGAATATACACGACACCAGTGACACACAAACCCGCTAGTGTTGGGCGATATGCTCCATTTTCATATCGTCCTATCGTCAGCCTGTGAGATCGGCGATACACGATATTATCGTGAGGGGGCGGGGCTAACTTATTTGATTATTAACTTAATTATTTAGCCTACTCATTAATTTGCTTGTTTTATTAGCCTACTTCGTTTTATATACGAGAATCTGTTTTCTATTTTGCTAGCAAAGGTGGAGTGTTTATTAATAGGATCAGGTTATTTCCTGGTATAGTGAAGTAAAAAAAAGAGATCCTAATCCTTTTGTTTGTCAACGGGAAATTTACGGACACATTAGCCTATTCTCATGCCATTACATGCAGCATTTTGGTCTATTTCTGCACGAGATGAAAACACGTTTTAATAATTTCTTGGGTCAGAAAGAGTCGGAGTTTGCGATATGTGTCCCCCTACCAGTGCGCTCTCTGCGCACTTCACATGCGCACAGTAAGCACGAAGTACGCGGGTTAATGTGTTTTAAATGCCGATAGAAACAAGAGCAAGGGCCAAACGTCTAGCTGAGTCGATCGGTTTATACTTATACTTATGACTTGACTCAGATAAAGGAAACGTTTACATGACCACATGCATTGTCAAGTTTATTCAACATAATCAGGTTAAGAACGTCGTCGCATGTAAACGCGCTCAATCTCTGAAAGTGAAAGTAAAAACGGACTGCTTTCGGCATCTGCATTAACGCCGTGTTCCCTCAGAGACGACGATGATAACGGTAACTATAACACTATTTTAGTGATATTATTATTAATACTATTTAGTAATTGTATTGTTTTTAGTGTTAGTGTCATTAAACGTTTTGTTAATGTGTTACAGAAACAAATACTGACGAACAACGACGATGCCGTTTTCATCTTGGATCTGTAGGAAATTGAATTTTGCGTCTGTTAAAACGAGCACACTTGATAATTTGTGAATGGATCACCTTGCGATTGAATTTTGATGTGGGATGTTTTTTAGTCTGTTTTAAAAACATTCTCTTAGAGGAGTCCTCATTAGTGCGTGTGTTGTTGCAATTGTCGTTGTAAATTTAGGCAAGGCAAATTAATTGAAGTTCCTAATATTCATTTAATAACAATACTAGCTTTATAATAATAATAATAATAATAATAATAGGCCTAATAATAATAATTTAATACATTATGGTAAAACGAGCCAATTATCGTATTGATATCGTCAAAGGCATCTGCCATCGGCGATATGTCAGACTATCGTCGATACACGATACTATCGTCTATCGGCACAACCCTAAAACCCGCCTCCAATCACTCATAATTTGTTTCCGGATGAATATTGTTAAATTCAGGGTAGAGCCAGACCGATATATCGGCAGACCGATATTATCGGCCGATATTAGGCATTTTCCAAACTATCGGTATCGGCAGTTATAATGGCCGATAAATTAATATTTCAAAAATAAATGAAACACGCTTGAACCATGTCATGAGTGTTGGAGTTGTATAGTTTGTCCACCAGAGGGCACTCTACACCGTTCCTGTTGGCAACACTCGTTGAGTTGGTCACGACACATACATCGCTTGAATAACAATTAAAAGAACATCCCAAATAAGCATGACAAAATTTGTGACTATCATGTCCAGTTTTGCTGCTTTTAAATAAGCCGAGAGTGAAGCAGAATTAGCTAGTAATAGTTACGTTACGTTGTTACAGTGTAGTTGACTGACTGTCCTTTTAACTTTTGACAATGTGACTGAAGTATTTCTTTAATAGCGTGTGACAGTTATAGCAATGAGACACGTCTCTCCTTGGCCTGTTATATTGAAAATGTAAGTTTTACAATTTTCAGTATGACGTAATCCATTGCTAAATTATGGCTCATCATAGACTAGCTAACCACAAAGCTAGCTAATGCCACTATCATCAGTCTGTTCTTTTGTGACTGTAAAAAGAAAGTTTCTTTTTAAAATGCATTATATTATTTTAGTTAAAACTCATAAATAACTAATGTTAGGGAAATCTGTTAATGTTTTGTTGTGCGTTTCTGAAAAAAAATACAAATTAAAAAATATCGGCCGATATATCGGAATATCGGATTTTAAAACCCAAAAATATTTGTATCGGTATCGGCATTCAAAATCTTTTATCGGTCAGGCTCTAATTCAGGGCTTGAGTTTTGCATATATATATATATATTAACACTGAATCTAAAGATACCGAACCTAAATATGTTCACAATCTGATTGGTCAGTTTTTAAGATGTATATTTTGTGACAGAACTTAGCAAACATCCAAAACAATGCTGTGTTCTGGGCTAAATGCGCTCGCTGTGTGTGTGTAGCTGCATATGAGAGCTTATTTGACATTTTATTAAAGAGGAATAGCCCCTTGAGATGAGCCATCTCGTTTTCGAGGGGGTCCTCGATTCTAGATTCAAATAAAAAATTGACCTTACAGCAGCTGGAATTTAACATAACAAATAGCAAATAACAAATAACAAATACACAAGAAAAAAAAAAAAAACATGCTTTACAGTAGTACTATATAGCTAAATATATAAGCCAAAACCAAACAAGACATTCATTCATACAAGACTCCCTAAAGGTGACACACTCCTCCCTAAATAGAGTAAACCATATCATTTGTGCCAAGACAACATCAAAACACAAGTAAACTCATACACAGACAAAAAATATATATATGTACCATGCCAAAAAAAAATAAGTTACAGTGAGAAATACAAAGTAAATATAATAAAATAAAATAATGCTAATCAAAAGCAATTGCATGTATTCTGAAGATGTTGAGCTAAATGACTTTTAAATATTGGAAAAGAAGTTAAAAAGCGAATTGAAATTGGAAGTTTATTCCAATCATATGGTGGTTTATATTGAAATGCATATCTTATAAATGTGTAATGGACTCAAAACAGTGTCAGGAATCCCTCCGTCACACACACACTATGATCTGCTGTGAGGAGACGCGGTTCTGACGCCTGAACTGTGACGAGCAACATCACGACTATTACATGACAGCTTGAGCAATCTGTGCTTTTTAGGATCGAACCTTGTGACATCATAGTCTGTTTTTGGTTCATCAATGTTGCATTTATATTTCTTTCGGACTGCGTCGTTTGGAAGCGGATCGAGACTCATCGATTTAGTGTGTTTGGTGTCTCCAGGGTTCAGATGGTGTTCACACTTATTGAAATGAACCGCACTAACAGAGCAATCGCACCAGGGTTCGTTTTAATCCAACCAAACATGCCAAGTGTGAACACATCTTTAGAAACAGCAGTGAGCGTTAGTCTTCTCTCTCATCAGTGTTGCCGAGACACACAGTTCTCTGCAGAAAACCTCCACTGCTGTTCCTCATTATTTCTATGCTTGTGTGTGTGTGTGTATTTTGCAGGTTGTGCCTTTGTTAAGTTTTCCACACACACCGAGGCTCAGTCTGCCATCAGCGGGCTGCACGGGAGTCAGACCATGCCTGTGAGTACAACTACACACATGGAGCTTTATGAGCTCGTTTTAAGTGAGAGACGACAAGATTTTACTTTTAGATCTTTACTCACAAGGTAAAATGACCTAAAAATACACTTTCTCTTACACATTCATACATTTTGACCAAAAATTAATTGGTATGATGTGCGTCAACGTATACACTCACAGGTCACACACACGTTTATGTAACAGCGAGCGAGCGCACTCACACAGCTGATGTTGAAGCCAGTGAGCTGCTGTCATGTTGAGCCAATATAAGTGCAAATGAGCTGCTGTCATCCTGCCTTCTCTTCTGAGTGGAGGACTAGCTTACTGCTTACTACACACTAGTGTACCGCCTAAACCGAGACCAAGACCACAATGTGTTGGAACCAAGACACAACCAAGACTTTACATCCAATCACATTAATCGCATTAACAGAAATCAGACAATACACCGGCAATATTGTGATATCCTCGCAGTTTTTATGTTGACCGGTCTAGAAATAAAATTCAGAGTCCTCTTAGTCTGAGACCGAGACGAGACAGAGTACAAATGCAGTCGAGAACGAGACGAGAACAAACCATCTTGAGAACTACAAGACTAATACACAGCATACTGTATACTGCAGTGCACACTGTTTGTTTGTTGGTCTGTTTGTTTGTCTGTCTGTTTTTTTTTGTTTGTTTGTTTGTTTGATTGATTGATTGATTGCCTATCTGTTTGTTTGTCTGTCTGTCTGTCTGTCTGTCTGTCTGTTTGATTGTTTGTTTGTCTGTCTGTCTGTCTGTCTGTTTGTTTGTCTGTTTGTCTGTCTGTCTGTTTGTTTGTTTGTTTGTTTGTCTGTTTGTCTGTCTGTCTGTCTGTCTGTTTGTTTGATTGTTTGTTTGTCTGTCTGTCTGTCTGTCTGTCTGTCTGTCTGTCTGTCTGTTTGTTTGTCTGTCTGTCTGTCTGTTTGTTTGTCTGTCTGTCTGTTTGTCTGTTTGTTTGTCTGTCTGTCTGTTTGTCTGTCTGTTTGTCTGTTTGTTTGTTTGTTTGTCTGTTTGTCTGTCTGTCTGTCTGTCTGTCTGTCTGTTTGTCTGTCTGTCTGTTTGTCTGTTTGTTTGTTTGTTTGTTTGTTTGTCTGTTTGTTTGTCTGTCTGTCTGTTTGTTTGTTTGTCTGTTTGTCTGTCTGTCTGTCTGTTTGATTGTTTGTTTGTTTGTTTGTCTGTTCGTTTGTTTTTTCACAAAAATGAGAATATTATTTAGGGGAACTGCATAATATTAATTTTAATAGTTAAAATTTTTAAACAACATAAATAATTATTTATTTTACAGTCTGCTAACAAAAAAGTAGCTAAGTAAGGGCAATTTCTTTTCAACGTATCAAAATAACAAGCTATATAAACTTATACAAAAAAAAATTTAAATTATATCTTAAAACTGCCTCTTATCATTTATTTCTGTTTTTCATTTATTTTTATTAATCATAAACCTGTTTATTTATACAAATAAAATATTTAATATTTAACTCTCAAATGCAAACAATGAGAATTTCAATCAGGGGACTCCATAATATTAATTTTCTGCTAATGAAAAGTAGCTAATATCTTTTTAAATATCTCAAAAAACACGTTAAAACTGTTTTATTTATTTACTATAAAACGTTTTATTTATTTGACTTGTATTTAACTTGCACAAACAATGATGATCTTAATTGGGGGACTGCATAATATTAATTTCAATATTTAATAATAATAAATATTTAGTTTCAGCCTGTTTCCCACAGCTATGTTATGATTTAAGACTTGGATTATAGGTACTTTGTGATGGTTTTGCATGAATTTCGAAGCGTGACTTCTTTAGTCACAATAGTTGCATTGAAAGGAAGTTCAGTTAAAACATTCCTCGTGCGCTTCATGGAAGAAGTTATACATGTCATGATGGTGGATAAATTATTACAGAATTTCCACCAAATTTTGGTTAAAAAAAAACTATATTTTGCAGAATTTCCACTGCTTTTCCGTCAAAATCAGCACCAAAAAAAGCTGCAGATTGTTCACGGGCCATCTGGGTATTCCTTTGACTGAGAAAAAATATTACGTATGAAATATAGTACGGGCAGTATGCTATTCTGAACATTTCCTTTCTATTCTACAGCTCACACTCTTTTTATCACACTCTGCATGTTTTCCCACCTCTCTCTCTCTCTCTCACACACACACTCGAAGGTTCAGATGAATAATTCCTCTGCCACACTTTGAAAGGACAGATAAAGAGGTGTATTTCTCCATCCCCTGAGAGCAGGACAAGAAGTAGAGAGAAAGAAACGGACAGGGAGGGCTAGAGAGGATCAAACCGAGGGAAAACACACTCTGGCGGTGTGTAACGGTCATAGAGAAGGAAGACAGGTAGTGCAGGAATGCGTCTGATGAACCACTGTAATGTGTGTTTAGAGATCAGCCCAACCTTCAGAGTAATTATCCTCAAATGAAACGTTCAAGGCCGTATCTCACACTCGCACACTTTGCATGCCGACAATTAAAGCATCTACATAGTCGACGACAGAATGAGAAATTGAAAGTCTTATTCGAACCTACTATGCATTTTTTTTACATTTTTAACTTTCTTTAGTGTGTAATGTTGCTGTTTAAGCATGAAAAAGGTCAAAACACAGCGCGAGTTCTTCATAATATCAGTGTCAGTGTTTCTGAACTCCCTGAAACGCTCCAATGTAGTCTTGAGTTTTCATACCGGAACGAACACGTCACAATATTGCTCATTTAAATAATTAATTCGCAGAATAAAGGGGCGGGGCTGGTTGAGTTAGTTAGTAGTGTGTTGAAACTTTTGGTTTGGTAAGAGGCGGGGCATTTCCCCACATTTGAAGCACTTGACCAATCACAACACACTTCTCTAGCTGACCAATCAGAGCACAGTGTGGTTTTCAGAAGGAGGGGCTTCATAGAGACAGGAACTGAACAGAGCGTTACTGACAGACTGGGAAGAGAGGAGCCGCAACAATGGAGAATATGTGAAAAATTATATGTTTTTGAACATTCCAGCATTAAAACCTGTTCTAGTAGAGCCTGGAAACAAAATCACGACTTTGAAAAGATCATAATAGATCCTTTTTAAAATTTGAATGTGACTAGTTTCCTCAAGGTCACAGACAATCAAACGTGTTTAAATCAAACAAGCCTATTTTTCCTGAATAAAATTACAAAGCAAATGACCCACTCTGAGAAATCTAATCATGTCCGGATAGCAATGTCTGTGATTACGGTATATTGTTTTCACAAAGCTTCTCCTCATTTATTTTGACTTATTGAATATCTGTTATTTGCTGCCTGGTGCAACTTCATTATGGATTTAGACCTTTTGCCAAATGTCTGGCTAAGAACAGCTGGCAAGTTTAGCTCTGATGACATCCCATCTGAGAATTAAATCTGATGTGGAGATTCTGATCACTAACTGCTCAGAACAACATTATCAGGCATGATCTTCACTCATATCAATGTTTTCTTTTATATATATATATATATATATATATATATATATATATATATATATGATGTTTTATACATTTATATTTATTAGGGCTGTCAAATGATTAATCTCGATTAATCGCAGTGTGTTTACAATATATATGTGGGTGCACTGTGTATAATTATTTTATATAAATAAATACATTACACACACAATCTTGTATATATTTAGGAAATATTTCATATATATACTGTATATAGATTTATATATAATTTATATTATATATAAATATGAATATTTTATTTATAATTAATTTTTTTGCTTAAATATACATACATGTGTGTGTATTTATATATATACAAAATAATTATACACAGTGGACCCACATATATAATGCAAACACAAACTTTTATTTTGGATACGATTAATCGCGATTAATCGTTTGACAGCCCTAATATTTATACATGTGTTCATAATTTAAATTATATGTAAATATAAATATTTTATTTATAATTAATATTTTTTTCTTAAATATACATGCATGTGTGTGTATTTATATATATACAAAATAATTATACACAATGCACCCACATATATTATGCAAACACAAACTTTTATTTTGGATGCGATTAATCGCGATTAATCGTTTGACAGCCCTAATATTTATACATGTGTTCATATATAAAAAAAAAAAAATGAATCACAGACTACTATTCAAAGTATGAGGTCAGTAAAAATTCAGTAATGATGCATTAAACTGATCAAAGTTGACATTTATATAATGTTACAAAAGTTTTCAACATTGATAATAACCAGAAATGTTTCTTGAGCAGGAAATCGGCATTGAAATGATTTCTTCAGCTTTGCATCACAGGAATAAATTACGTTATAAAATATATTCAAATAGGCAGTTACTTTAAATTGTAAAAACATTTCACAATATTACTGTATTTTATTAAATAAATGCAGCCTTCTTTCAAAAACATTCAAAAGTCTTACAGACACCAATCACTTGAACGGTAGTGTAAATTAGACAATCACGCAATGTGAGAAGCTTGTTGTAAACATCCATCTGAGATGACAGACAAAGCAAGGGAAATTTTGGTTATAATTTACATATATCATTTTATTTAGATGCAGTTGCTGTTATAGTGCGTTCAAAACCCTTTTAGTTTGGATGCTGCATGTGAAGCCAGTAGACAGCGAGGAAGGGGTTTTGGACCAGAGCCAGTGAGAGAGTGTTAAGCAGTACTGAGTTTCAGGGACATTTTAATAGTTCCTCATTACACATTCAGAGCCACGCGTTGAGTTAGCAAAGGCCTCATTAACAGCTCAGCCTTACAGTTTGTTTCAGCCCTGCAGAGCGAAACTTTCCACCATACCAATTTTAATGCATTAAAATATTTCAGCATCATTTTACAGCTTGTCACAGTGATGTTCAATGTCAGATCTCAAGCCTGTCCTGACAGTCCAGCTTCTTACAGAGTAGCAGCCTCTAATACACCTTCATGTTTTTACTACTTCTAAATATTTTAGGGATGTAACGATGCACAATTGTCTGATAGTTTAATGGCATCTGCTGCTACAGACACTGATAGTTTGGAGTTCTGCTTTTAATACCTTGTTTCAAATTAAAGCTACAATATGTCATTTTTTTCACCACTAGGGGTCGCCAACCTCTTGCAATAACAAAAGGCGTAGGTTTATGACGCATAAGCGGAACTATGGAACTTGTCGTCATGCTGATGGCTCTAATAATGTTTATGGATGTCACTCATCCAATTCCTGCCAATACATTGATATTTTTTTACATGATTAAGCAGGGCGCGATTGCTTACGAGAGACCGATATCAGCGACACACGGGAGTCCTGCAGATATATAATAATTCACTTTCACTTGGTAAAATTAGCTGTTTCACTTGGTCTACACTATCAGACTAAACTGCATTTGAGTGTGTTGAAAGTTATGTTATTCTACTACTATTCTTCTAGTTCAGGGATTCCCAAACTGAGCTGCCACCAGGGGGTGCGCGAGAGGAAAAATGTAATGGCGGTCTGTTTTTTTTTTTTGAGTGCTATTTTTTCATACAATAAAAAAAAAACATGAACTGTAAACATTTCCTTTGTAATCACTTATATTTTAAATAAAAAAGCTAAAATGTATCAGTTTTTGATAGAACGTAGAAGATAGCTAAACACTGCTCTGCACTGTAGCCACTATGCGTTATCAACTAGCTTTCGCGTGTTGGCTGGCGCTGAGCCAGTGCTGTCATATATCACAACTATTGAATATTTTCAACCACATAATGTTTATTTTAAATTCCAGACATTTAAACACAAATAAGTACTAGTAAAACAATGATTTTGATTTTCCTGATATTTATGGAAGCGGCAATAATAATCTTTTTCATTATATAAGACGACACGTTTTATCATTTCAGATACACATTGTGTAGCTTCACATTTTACCCTATCCTTCTCCCAGTTCACCGGCCTCTTACTTTCATTTATTTCGTGAGGTGTTGTAAATCCAACAGATCCGATTCTCTGAACTGCCCATCGCGCATACAGCTCAACTCGTTGTGAAGGCGTTTAAACAACAACACACTTCCACTTACACATATTTGAATATCGGAATATCAGTGTTTCATGCTCTAGCTAGCTAGGCCTACATTTGTGAATATTTTTTATTAAAAAGAAAGGGCAAATGACAAAAGCAGATTCGTTCAGTGCTGTTGTGGTTGCGCTGTGTCTCGTGACAAGCGATGACGCGTCACCATGGAAACATTAAAGTGGCAAGTTCTAAAAAAAACGGTCGCCTTGAAAAACTCACGCTGGGGGTCAGTTAGAATTGTTAAACTTACGTGTGAAAGAGTTAAAAGTGGAAGCTTGTGCGTAGCTTTGTTGCGTGCTATGACTTTTCTAAGTGATCGGGTGTACGATGCTAGTCTGGCGGGCGATAAATCGGCCGAAAAATCTCCCATAGACATAGCTCCACAAAATAGAAGAAACATGGATTTTGACTTTTTTGACTCAGACTGTCAACTAGTCTTTAAATATAATCTCATCCACTGTATAAGCAAACCATAGCAACCATATAGAGTACCCTAGTAACCACCTGAACACATGAATAAGCCATATCTCCGCTTAATAAGCCATATTCCATCACAAAAACATTGTACAGACGTGTTTGTTGTCTCGTATGCATTAATGTACCACACTCTAGCAACCGGGTGGTAAGTTTTGCCACTGCAAGCACCACTTCACATTTTCTTCTGGAAATGTACATTCTAGTATTGAAATTTGTTGTTGTCATGCATGTTCTGGTTATTTGAGCATAATAAAACATGAGTGTTTATATGGCGATAAAACAAAGCTTTGTTGCGTTTTTTGTTTTTTTTTCCGTTTTTTTTTTAAGTGGGGATTGGGGGTGCGCCAATTCGGTTGGGACATAGAAAGGGGTGCGCAAGAAAAAAAGTTTGGGAACCGCTGTTCTAGTTTGTTGGTTGTATGAGACTAGCAGTAAGCATTAGAATAACACACTGACCATATTCCAACATTTCATCATGTTGAGCTATGTAAGATTGATTAGTTTTATAGTCAAGTCGGGACTTGTGAAGCTCTGTCAATTGGAAGTTAGTCGTAGACATGGAGCTTTCGGCAACGCGAAAACGCTACTCTGATATTGATCCTTGTTTTAGTTCTCCTTTTGTTCTAAAGTTTGCTTGCCATGGTCTATAATGTTTGAACGAAACAAAAGTGTGAGCGTGTCTGATGTCTGATAGTAGTGAGGATAATTGCCATTATCAGCCAATACTGATTATTGGCCCATATATTGGTGCATCCGTAACAAGAAATGCTAATTCACACTAAAGTGGCAGTGGCGTGTGTCTTTGTGTAGGATGCACACATACAGTAATGGCCTGCGCCCTTCAGAGTGCTCACTTCAGTGATTCTCACTCATAATCTGCATTGAAGTGCTGTGTAGGCTTATGATCAGGCATTACAAATCCCCAGAGGTGCAAACCTTCACGGTCTTTCTCTCTCTCTGTCTCTCAGATGAGGGGAATATTCTGGCCTTTAGGGATGAAAGGTCAAGTGGTGCAGTAAATCATCAAGAGCCCTTTAATGAGTCCTTGTGTGTGTGTGATGTTGGACTGCACTTTTTATAAGCGCTAAGTAAGTGCAAAAAAATGTAAACGAGTATTACCTGTATGATTTTCTTTCTGTAGAACATAAGATTTGATCTGGTTTATGGTCTTTTGGATGCAGTTACAACAAAACAGGACTGATGCTCTTAAGCTTCAATGGGGACCACAAGTTCTTTTTGTAATTTTTGTTACGTGCATTTTTTTATTATTATTATTTTTAACTAGGTTTTATTTATTTATTTTTATTTATTTAGTTCAGTTTTAGTTCCAGCTTCAACAAAAACGTATTTCAGTCAGCCGACAAGGCATCTTTTTAGTCTTTTCATTTATAGTTTATTTTATTTCAGCTTCATTTCAATTGACAAAAAGTTTCTCAGAGTTTTAGTTAACCACAATAACCCTGAAAAGGACACCGTGCATAAAAGTACTCCGTGCAAATTATACAGTTTGTCTATAATCCTAGTCTTTTTATTACAGCAGATAACAGCCTTATTTGGAGGGGTAGATTCAATATGGGAACTAAATTAGTTGTCTTAGTGCAAGAAATGACCATTCGTACAACATGAATAATGCAACAAAAGTGCAGAATATGATGATTTTAATTCATGTGTATATGCTTGTGCATGTTGTGCATGGCCCTTAAGGGACTTGAAGAGAAAAATGAGATTGGTGGGGGAAAAAATGCTTTTTTTGTTCACTTGCAACAAGCTTTGTAAAACGAACGCAAAAGTTTTGCGAGTGAATGCAAAGAACACGAAAACAAATGTCTTTTGCATATATATACAAGTATTGAAATTTGTCTTTTACTCCCATATGGGAGTAAAATAATGTCATCTCATATTTTTTCCATCATCATGTCCTTTTAGATGCTCAATATGTTGTAGAGTCATCCTAGTGCAGTTTTTGCCTAAAATGTCAATCAAATTTCATGCCACATGGTTTTTAATAGACGTACCCCAATTACCCCCCAATCATGCTTTCTCACCTCACTTTGAAATAAAGTTTATATATATATATATATATATATATATATATATATATATATATATATATATCTTAAAATGCTATTTTAAGTATTAGTATATACATTACTTATTCTCTTTGACATAAAATACAAATTATTGTGATATATATTTCAATTAAAGTAGTTAACATCCCTCAAACTCTAGTCCACCCTGTTACAATGGTGCTATTTTCCCTTTAAAATCTTAAAGGTACACTGTAAAAAATGATTTTTTGGTTAAGTAAATACTAGTGAAAAAACCCAATGTAATTTACTTGAAAAAGTTAGTTCAGGCAAAAATTTAAAAAACTAAGTAAATTCCATATCAGTACTTATTTCAAGCGAGTATAAATGAAAGTGTAATATCAACTCAATAAAATTAAGTAAAAATTACTCAACTTTTCTGATACTGGGGTTCCCATCATGCACTGGACCTTGAATAATTAATGAGGTTCATTTTTCACTGGTTTCCAGCTGTATTTACACTGTTTTATCATTGATTTTTGATTTTCAAGATAATTGTTTTAGTGAAGTGTAATACAAAGGCAAAGGAAATCGGTATTAATCAACCTTTTACAAGTCGAGTTAAAATTACTTATTTTTTGTAAAGTTTTACTTAATTCCACATTCCAAGTAAATTTAACTTAAAGATTTCTAATTAAAGCTACTGATAAATATGTTTAGGTTTTTACTTGGCAAATCTTTGTAAATTTACTAGCATTTTCTGAGTGAGATCGTTTAGCAAGGTTTTTTCAAGTAAATCCTACTCCAAATTTTTTACAGTGTATGCCCTAAAACACATGACTTGCTAGAAGTGACATCATTTCCTTTTAGGGAAAGCAACTCCGTCATAAACGTCTCTATTCTCCCCATTTTTAGGAGACTTATCTAATAGCGTAAAACATTACAGTCCACCCTGTTGTATCAATTTATACTGGATATGAAAATCTGATATGAAGATTTTCTATAAAATTCTCCCTAAATGTTAATCTTCTGCTTGCATGTTGTTCTTTCCCAGCTAGTAATGCGTTTCATAGCTCAAAATGTCCACCCTGTTACATTGTACTGTAAATATGGCATAGAATGTGAAATATTTGGTCTGGATTATTAGATTAAACTAGCCTGAGCTTGACCGGTGTGTTTGTATGATTCTCCCTCTAAAAATGTAATTTTTACAATGTTTTTTAGCTAACCTCCTCAGTCCAAACCGTAGAATGACCCTGCAATGTATGTACAACTGTTCATGTGTCTCTCGCAGGGAGCTTCGTCGAGTTTGGTGGTAAAGTTCGCCGACACCGATAAAGAGAGGACCATACGCCGCATGCAACAGATGGTGGGTCAGTTCGGCATCTTCAACCCCACCGTGGCCCTGCCGTTCAGCACCTACAGCAGCACCTACAGTACTTACACACACGCGGTGAGCACACAATCAACAGCCTCAGATTAATGAACGCTGTCCTTGTCTCAAGACGTTTTGCACTCTGTCTGCTGAATAATGCATTAACATCATTTCAATTCCTGACCCATGAATACTAGCAGATATAGTTCCTGTGCAATTTGAACTCTTGCTCCCATCGGACTCTTCAGAATATAAGTAACAGGGATCAAATTGATCCTGAGTGCCGTTTTCATGCTTTATTTGCATTTTGAATATTTGGCTTTGATTATAAGGGACACTCTTATAACCTGTGGTTTTGAGTTTGCTGTAGAGCTGAGTGAATATATTTAAGATGATTTATGAATATAACCAACTTTTGGCCATTACGTTTCCTAAAGACAATGTCAAAAGACCAGGACTTGTGACTTAGGGTGTATTCCAACCCGATCTCACGACCAAGTCGTACGAATTCGACGAATGATTAAAAAGTGGCTAATTCGTAACAATTCATACGACCTCACTCGTACGAATTAATACGATTTTGCTAAATCGTACATATTTTACGAATTGGCCAATTCGTATGAATGACCTACCCTTTACCCCGCCCCTAAACCTAACCATCACGTGGGTTTAGACAAATCGTACGAATTAGTACGAGTGAGGTCGTACGAATTAGTACGAATTAGCCACTTTTTAATCATGCGTCGAATTCGTACGAATTGGTCGTGAGATAGTGTTGTGTATTCACACCTGCCTTGTTTGGTTCGATTGAATCGAACTCTAGTTCGTTTGCCCCCTTGGTGCGGACCTTTTGGGCAGGTGTGAATACAGCAATCGAACTCGGGTGCGGACCAAACAACCGAACCGAGACCCAGCTGAAGAGGTGGTCTCGGTACGGTTCCAAACGAACTCTGGTACGGTTCGTTTACGGTGTGAACATGAACCGACCCAATTGCAAGAAAGCACTGCGTCGAAAGAGAATATTGCGCGTCTTTCTGCGCGTCGTGTGTGAATGTCTAATCGCGCAAACATGCAAAAAAAGTGTGCAGAGAAAAATTCTATATAAATGTAATGAATTATTATTATTATTAATGTAAGGATAGTTACAATACAAGGATGATATGCATTAATTTACGTTAAACTGGACAAACTTAATCGCAAGCGTTAACATTGACAGCACTTGTTAGTACACAATAAGAATCTCATTATTTGAATCAGTGAACATAGCCCCTCTCTATGAATGAAAACTGTATACCTTCTCCGTCTTCTGTGCAGTGCCACTTGTAACGCAAAGTTGAGATGTTGCAGATAAAAAAAAACAGTAGATGGTCGAATGAAAAGATGCACGAAAGACGAGAGTTGTCGTATTTCCCCGCGTTTATAGAGCCACTCAAACGTTACACTCGTCGTCTTCTCAAAATCCGAATTACAACTTCGTATAGATGACATTGTATCATATGATACTCATTAGTTTCTTCATATTGCGTTTGTACAGAATTAACACAAAATTAGTAAAAGAACAAATATTGCAGTATGAAATATATGGAAATATCTCCATGCTGAGCCTTTTTTTGCACTTCCTGATTTCCCTTGAGAATCCTTGTCCAATGAATGGACGACCTTAGCACACGTGTGGTTTGGTTTACAAATTTTGGTTCACTTGCAAAAAGAGCGGTGTGAAAGCAAACCGTACCAAAAAAAAAAAAAAAAATGATTTGGTCCGGACCAAAGCAAGTGAACTATCGGACTTTCCTGGTGTGAATACACCCTTAAAAAAATATTGTTGGTTTAACTTAAAAAAATGCCTTAAACCTGGCTGCCTTAAAACTTTAAGTTCATTGAAATGGAAAAATTGACTTAATACAATGAAGGAGATTGATTTAATCATTAGAAACTCAAAATATTATGTTATCTGAACCACAAAAAAAATATTTAAGTTGATTTGACAAAAGAATAAATGTTGTGTTTACAAATCATGAAAATATTGTATTAAGAGTGAGTTTTTAATAGCTTTTCTTATTTAAACTTTAAATTAAAGTTGGTAAATGTATTTCATTTCTATATAAATCAGTTCAATAAAGTGTTTGCATTAATCAATTGAAAAATGCACTGAAGTCTGCATTTTAATTATGTGGATGCATATAAATGAAAATGATTAAATATCTCTCTCTCTTCCTTGTGTCGTTTGGCGGTAAACATGATTATTTTGAACGCTTACGTTAATCATTTAAATCATCTTGGCAGCAACGACTGTTTCATTGAAATGATGGTTCCTTTGGAGCCATTTCAGAGAAAATACATAAATATAGAGATATATATCAAAAATGATCAAAAGGCTGAGTAATATCAAGATGATTTTTATTAACTTCATCATCCTGGCCTAGTTCGGCACTCTTAGCGTGGTTGGAAAAGCCACACGCGTCTTTGAGTAATTCATCTTCTTTAGATGAATCCCAGTTCATTTACGGGATGGATAATGTATTCAAAGCACATGGATTTCTGTGCATATTCATAAGCGTATTACTTGAAACGATAACGGCATTAGATACAGATTAAGCCTGTGATCTGATAGTGTGGAAGTTAGCCGCTATTTTAAATACTTTTTAGCTCATGGAGTCTCACAGAAGTGGGAAGTTTGAGGATCCGCATCACGTGTCAGATGGGCTCTATATATAGCGTATACCCTGCAGGCCTTCGGTTTTAATTACACTGCGCTGAAGTGTGTGCATGTGTGTGTGTGACATTTCAAACTACAGCTTTGATTTTATAATCCATATGATCCTTCGCCACAACCGTGTGCGCCTCCTCGCCATGTTAGCAGCTTGCTGCTTATTATCCTGTTCGTGCGTGAACATACTGGGATATCTGTGTGCAATTCCTTCTGTGACGTCTAAACATGGAGCCAACAGAAGGAAAACCCCCAGGTATCCCATCATCCACCTGTTCTGTGTCCCTGTACACAGTAAACACAACCGCACATGTAAAAAAAAAACACACAAAATCTGAATTGGGCACACAGATAATAAGGCATGCTGTCCGTTGCATCGCAAAATGTGTCTGAACTCGATGCAGTTTGCATTGCATTATCAGCAGTACAGCTGGAATTCAGTGTTATTTCACTCATTAAAATACTATTAAAATTTTAGTTAGAATTAGATTTTATTTTTATATTTTCTGGTTTCATTTTAATTTTAATTAAGGTTCTCATTTTGGTGTCATTTTTATTAAGTATTTTAGTTTTAGTTATTTTAGTAATTCTATGAAGGTAAAACGATGTCATAAAGAATCGCATGCGCAGGGTAAGATTTGTGAAAGAGTACTAGTGTAAAATAAATGAAACCAATTAGTTCAGTTTACTTCATTTTATTATTATAAACTCGTTGCCTTAATTTCATTGAGTAAGCATAACTTAATTGCATCAAGTTATTCTTACTTAATCCATTTAAGTTTTGTCAACTTAATTCTGTCTGAGATCTGAGGAAGTGTACTCCCAGAGTGCATTGCGGCATGAATAAATTAATTGCTTTGTTTTTCTATTTTTGGCTTTATTTTACCACTACAATTTTATTTGATATCGTTATTGGGGTTATACTGACAAGAGACAGCGAAAAAAAAAAAAATTGTAACAGTCAATTAATTAAATTATTAAAAAAAGTTTTAATGTTTATATATATATATATATATATTAGGGCTGTCAAACGATTAATCGTGATTAATCGCATCCAAAATAAAAGTTTATGTTTACATAATATATGTGGGTACACTGTGTATAATTATTTTGTATATATATAAATACACACACATGCATGTGTATTTAAGACAAAATATCATTTATATATAAAATATTTATATTTATATATAATATAAATTATATATAAATCTATATACAGTATATACATCAAAATATTTCTTAAATATAGCATGTATATATTTATATATAATTATACACAGTGCACCCACATATATTATGTAATCACAAACTTTTATTTTGGATTAATCGTTTGACAGCCCTAATATATATATATGGTATTCAAACCAGTCAAGTAATGTTATTAATGTTAAGGTATAGCATGCAAACAGTACAGATTACTAAGAAATTTTGAGTTCAACACATTATTGGACAGTAAACTTAACAAAAAACTTTTTTAGTAAGAACAATGTTAGATTTTACAGAAGATTTGTAAAAGTGTAAATCGCCCTTCAAGTGTAAGAAAAAAAAATATTTGCAGCTTTTAACTGTTATTGGTAAGTTCATGCATTCTGAAGCTGCATCTTCATGCTGACGCAAAATAAATACGATCTGCATTCTTCAGACTTTCATTTGCAAAAACAACAGAGACAGGAACTGCAAAACAGATTATTAACATTAGTTAAACTCACAATACCTACACAAATAGTTGTACATCTGGTTTAATGGCACAGATGTAGCATTCACGTGTGCATGCCAGCATAGATGTCCATTCTAGATACATTATAGACCACTTACACACACAATCCCAGTTCTCTCAGCAGGTTCAGACTCTTGCTTGGAACCTGACTGATTTAAATTGCATGTGGATTATTTAAATGGGAATGAGTAGCACTTCAAACATTGCCTTAAATCGTGAAATCTTGCCCTAGGGGAAACAAACAAACACACACACTCTCTCACACACACACACACTAAGTGAAATAGACTACTCATTTTGGTCATACGGCTGCACACAGGAACTGTTGGGATTATACATCCTGCCAACAGCATTTGCATAATAGCATGAGAGCAATTTTTAGGAAGATTTCCACACGGTCTGCAATCGTGGCTCTTCTTGTTGAGTTGGTTGAAAAGTGTGCTGTGGTTTCAGAACCGTTTCATAAAGATTGCCAACTCTGACTCAGTGAAGGGTGCAAAAGAAGACTGAATATTATTGAGTTGAATAGAACGGATCCACATAGAATTGAACAGAACCATGTAGAACCTATCAAAGCGGAGTCACAGTATACAACAGAACAGAAAATAACCATTTACAACTTGACCCTCGTGGCTTGATCCATCCTCTGAA